AAAACTACTTTAGCGCGGCAAAATTGAGAATGAATTTGACTTTAATTAATTTGTTATTATTTCAACGCCCTTTAAAGGTGTTTCTAACGCCTTTCTGAAGCCTTTCTCGAAATGGCTTTAGCCATCGTTTTCGATATTCCAAAAGTCTTCATCTCATCGGATAACCTATACTCCCACTTCAGGTATGCTTCTACGCTCCTTTTAGAGCTGTTCGTAAGTCACCCTACAATTCGAAAAATGATATCCCCACATAGGAAGATCACAAAAGCACTCGTTTTACGAGTAATGGAGCAACTGAAAAATGCTTTGCAACTCCCTGCCATCCACTAGCAGATACTCTCTGGTATCCCACCGACTATAACATGCATTTTAATTAGTCTAAACAACAGAAAAGGCTTTTTCGAAGAAAAAAGGGCTGTTTAAGAATTTTTGATCGGAAAAAACGCCCTTCTCCAGTCTTTTCAACGTGGAAATGCCTTTTGCTAATCGAAAGGAATTCTGTAAGGTACTGCGTATTTGAAAGTTCCTTTCAAAGGTGTTAAAAGCTGAAAACAAGCTTTTAAGGGCTTTCTAAGGGTCTTCTGAGATTTTCCTCGGATTGGCTTTTGGTCGCGTTCTTGATATCGCAAAAATCTTCATCTCATAAAATAACGTATGCTTTGACCTTCAGCTGTACTTCCACGGTGAATTTGTTGGAGTTAGGTGGTCACCGCAGAATTTGAAAAATGATATCCCCACATGGGAAGATCCCAAATAAACTAATTTTTACGGGCAGTGGAGGAGTTGAAAGATTATTCTAAAGGCAGTGTCACCCACTTGAAGATGTCACAGGAGTACCTATGTGGTATTTCTGCATTATTATTAGTTATAACGTAGGAAAACGACTTCTAAAGGAAGAAGGGCTTTGTAAGCGTGTACGGATAGTGTTGTAAAGCAGTTCTTTTTAAGTGAAAATTAGTTTATCCTTATGTGAAAGTCGGTTTCGGTGCCGTTGTTTATAGAGTTCTAAGTTTCGCATAGGGTTATATAATAAGTTGGAAACGTTTTTTTTGGTTCCGAAAAGGGTATTTAAAGGGTTTCTTGGATATGTTTGGGGAAGCATTTTTTCAATCCAAATGTGTGGATTGCCGTTCGGGACGGTGTTTTAAAACGTTGTATTGAAGTCCACCTTTTTCGAGGTGGTTGGGATGTATCAATAGATTGTTTTCTGGAAAAGTTTTCATTGCACGACTTTTCTCCAGCTGTTTGGAGAAGATGTTTTCGATATCCAAATGTGTGGATTTACCACTGAAAAGGTCTGATGTTGTCTGGTATTGATGTGCACTTTCTAAGGAGGTGTATTTAAGCAGTTTAAGGCAACTTTTTTGAAACAAAATGTTTCCAGCAATTTCTCTCAAAATGAATGGAGAAGCTTTTTTTGAATCCAACTGTGTGGATTGCCGTAAGGGAGGGTTTTTGAAGTCCTTCTATTGAAGTACACGTCTTTGCAGGTCGTTTGTATATATCAACAGACGCTTTTTTTTAGAAAAGGCTTTCGTAAGGCCGCTGAAAATGTGGGTTTAAAAGAGCTCTTCAAAGGCTTTGCTTGAAAAAGGCCTTCCAAAAGTCTTTTCTGAAAAAAGGCTTTTCGCAGAAGCTAGGGAATGGGTTTGGTTTGATGCGCTTGCGTGAATTTACTATGGGACGTTTGTTATGATGCACTACAGTAAAAAACGGCCGGAAACGTTGGGTTTCACGGCCGTATATACGACCGTTTACAGTCATCGTTTTGCTTGACCTGCGTATTATTGCCGTGATAAAAATTGATTCTAAAAACTATGAAGATGCTTCTATAAGGATGTTGTCGTTCTCTCAAAAGCATTTAAATAAAGCGAATATGAAATAACCGTTGCACCACACTTGGTTCTGAACTAAGTTTTAATCTAAATGATATCAGCTAACTGATTCAAATCCTGAGGTTAGTTTCAATAGACTGAAAGATAGGAGCAGAACATTTGCATTTTTTATTTGCTTGAAGAGAAATATTGAATATTTGATATTCGGTTTCTTTTACAACAAAACTGAGAGAGTCGTTGAATATAAATATCTAATATTAATTAGATATCTGTTGAAAAATAAATTTTTGTCAGCGAGAAGGTAAATATCTGATATCTGATATCTGTTGTTCATCGAATATTATGTAGGGAGAAGGTAAATATCTGATATCTGATATCTGTTGTTCATCGAATATTATGTAGGGAGAAGGTAAATATCTGATATCTGATGTCTGCTGTACATTGAGTACTGTATAGGGAGTAAGTAAATATCTGATATCTGATGTCTGCTGTACATTAAAAGTTATAAGATAAATAGTTCTAATTGAAAGTATTGAAATTTTGAAAATTTGAAAATTTGCACAATTAGAAATTATAAGAATTTTGAAAATTTGAAAATTTTGACAATTAGAAACTATAAGAATTTTGACATGCTGATTCTAAAATTAGTTATAATTTTAGATTTGCCACTTTATGGTTGTGGGGCACATGTCAATGTGTGGGGGATGTTTTCCCAAAGTACTTTTCTAGGCTAATTTTAGTAGACGAAGTTAGGGGAAAATTAGCGACTTGTCCATAAGAAATTTTTTTCACTAGTTTTGTGGTCAGACACGCCCTCTTAAAAACTTCTAGCATCTTGAGAAAACAAAATCGCGAAGTTTCTGTGATAACATTTTGAAGAGGACACTTCGGGTTATAGAATTTGTGAAAAAATTTCTTATGGACAAGTCGCTAATTTTCCCTTAACTTCACCTACTAAAATTAGCCTAGAAAAGTACTTTGGGAAAAAATCCCCCACACATTGACATGTGCCCCACAACTGTTGCCTACTGTACGCTGATAATCGCAGGTCGCTATGACCTTCCATTCAAAAGTTATAAGCCTTTCTTCCACCTGTCTTCTTTAAAAATTCCGATAGTAGTAAACAATTTGATATGATAGTCTCTGTAAAAGCATTAGTAGTTGTCTTGATAACGGTTTTTGTTACGTTATGAATGTTTGATTATTGTCGGAAAGTCTGAATAATTTTGTTTTTTGACATCTGTACATTTATGTTGATAATTTGATTCATATTTCGTTTTGCATGTTTCTTCTTCTTCTAAGCAAATGAAACAAAATGAACGTAAACATACTGGACAAGTATGATATTTGCATTTTTTATCGTACGATCCTAATGCAAAACAAAATGGACAAAACCGACGATTGGGTACAAGTACATTCTTATTACATTCGAGTGGAACAAGTTCATAGGACAATTTTGTTATATAATCACAATTTGAATTACAATAATATTGATTATTGTTGCGTACAAGCAATCCTTCGTTCCAATCCTTGTTACAGAAAAAACAAAAAGTACGTTGGCAATATGTACATGTTTGTTGAGAATATAATGTTTCATTTACTACCAATGATCCACAACGACATATTTGACAATCAATATTTCTCATCAATTCATAAATATCAGTAAGTGATTCAAGACAACGAATAAAATCTGACGTGAGAAAAAATCGATCATAAGGTAAATTTTCATGGCAAGTCATACATTTCAGTTGAAAATTTGAAAATGCAAAATAATTTCCAAAACAAACTTTACAAATACGATTGCAACATAATTTCATTGTATGTGTACTTTCGCGACAAACTTGACATGGCCGATCAGGATCGTTTATTGTAGCAATTTGTTGTAAGGCTTGTTCAAGATCATACAAAATAATATTTGTCAAAATTTCTATTTCAACATAACCCCCCCCAAGCATTCGTTCGAGAACAAGAATATTGACGCCATTATGAAATAAAGATTGATAATGAGCAAATGACTCATTATTTAAAAGACCAAGTTCTTTACCAGAAATAACAAAACGATAACGAAATGGATTTTTGAAATAACGAATGATCAATTGTTGCAGATCGTTCATATTGAAGTTTTGTGGCAAATGTGCAAGATAATTTCGATTTCGATTATTAAAATGAATATTAATCATATCTAAAATGATATTTATAAATCCGATCGTTCATAGAAACGAAAACAAGAACGTCACACAAGATTTCAAGATATTATTTGTGTATGAAATCTTTCATTGTTGGATGATATCATATTCGATTGGAAAAAATAGGATGAATTTCGACAAGTACTGTATTGTTGTTGTGCACATACAATCTTATCGAATAACAAATTTGCTGACCTTAGGTCTTCCATAATTCGATTGAATTATAACAGAACAAGATTTTTATGCGAAGGATGATGTTCAATGAATTACGCAAGAGTCGATCAATTTGACGCATTTTTTGAAACATACCAAATTAGAGAAATCTATAAAAATCTCTGGAAATTCGTATAGGATAGTGAAAACGGAAACGACTCAAATAAATTGTTTAATAATCTAAGAAAATTTTAATAATTGAAAACATTTGCATCAAGTTATAGAAACTCGAAATTCGTGCATTTAGTCAAAGTGCAATGAAGTATACAACCTTATTTAGGTAGGTTATTTCTTTAACGCTTTGTATCTCACTATCAAGAAAAACAATAAATAAAAGTCGAGATACATTCAAACCTGTCACATGTTTTGTGTTGGAAATAATAAAGGTAGTGACGTTTCTCTTTCTGTTTGCCTCATGGCGTCATTTTATGCTTTATTCCTTCAGAGTGGGAAAAAATTCAGTATGTTGGAAGAAAGGAAAAGAATCCTATATCTTGATTATTTTTTGCTTTTGTTATGCAGTCAGATATGAATCATAAAATTTGCCCAACAAATAAAGTATGCATTCTTTTTGCTATGTTCTGTTAATCTTTTTTTCGAAAACAACAAACGAATATTACACAATGTTACGTGAATATCGACTAGATATAACCTATGACAATGATATGTAAAAGACTTCTCTTCTCTTTCTGCTTATTTCTTTGAGTTTTCAAGGATGTATATCTATGCTTATTCTTTCTTAGGTATACTGATATTTTAAAAGGAAATGTCTGTCAAAGAAACAAAATCTCTCAGTAGAAGATGGAAAGATTGTCGCCAAAAACAGCAAGGACCAATAAGAGCTGATCACAACACAGATTGTCAAAGGTCAGTTCGAGATTAATGATTAGAATGGATATGAATTGTTTTATTTTTATCAAGTTCAACACTGAATCAATCATTTAAAACGAATGAATCAAAACAATCTCGCTTACGTATGTGATTTTCTAAGGGTTGGTCGTCAGAATTGTTAAGACCTTCTCAAAGATTGATCTTGACTCAAGAATGTTGACATGACCTGAATTTTTTTAGATATATTGGGGCTATAGTTTAGTAGCTACAGTCAAATGTTCAGTCTAATATCATGCAGTTTGAGGGAGATATTGACCGAACAATGATCAAAAATTGCTCATTTTGTTACCCACATTTATCTGTCCCGGTCCATAGTGTATCTTTAATCTACTTTTGGTGAAAAGAGCATGTCAGGATGCAGAGCATCACAGAGCCATTTTTGCTTAATTCTTACTTTTTTATGTGGTGAAAGGGAACCACGAACTCTAAAATTGAAAAAACCTTAAAAATGTTTTTTGTTTCTACAGAAGTGTAGTCTTATCTGATAAGGAAGAAGCTTAAACTGAGAAAAATAAAAAAAAGCATTTTTAGATTTAGCTTATTTTTCGAATATGGATTGCGATAAATCATCTAAAAGTTAGTCGTATTCATAACTAAAATTTTAAACAAACTCAAAAAGATAACAGAAATCGAGTTTTTTGTTTTTGATAGAGTCATGTTAATCGATCTGATTGAAAAATGATATTGTTCATAACACGTAGATAGAGATAAGTTCTATATTTAGAACGCATGAATGATTGGATCCGAAAAAATGTTTTTCAGTGTATACCATTAGATGAATCAAACCAAATCTTTCCATTGTCACCTGTCCACTATGCCAAGTCTCCTATTACAAAACAACCTATTTCGTCAAGAAGAATATCCTCATCAATATTACCTGGTGATAGTCAAGCAGCCAATATTATAACTTCAGCAGTTGCATCACATCAAAGTAGGTTCATTGTTTCTTTATCAAGTCGTTCAACATTATTTAAAAAGAAAGAAATTTATAAAATTTTCAACCGGGAGATATTTTTAATAAAGAATCTAATTTTTATTAAAGAAAGAAATGATAGAGGCAGACTTTTGTTCAAGAATGTATACTAATACTTAGTAAAATCAATCTTTCGTTCTCAAATGTACCACCTTGCAATTTTTTTCCAATCTATTACATCTTCGAATAAAAAACTACGAGAAGTCGATTATAGGTTTTTAAAAAGTTTTTTGCTCAATTGATGTCATTTTCAAGTACACTGTCTAGATTCTCAATTGGATAATGAACATTACAGCTCGTTCGAATCGATCAATGTTCCGCTTGCTTCTTCGGAAGATATTACTATCGACAACAGTATACAAAATCTTGCTAAACGAAGTTCATCGACTTCTATCTCCGTATCTGTTCTCGCGAAGAATTTCGATAAATTATCTAAAAATTATCAACGTCATTCTCATAAAAAGATGAGAATCGAAGATACAACAATGAAAAAATATCGCAGCCAAACAACATCACAAATGCATTACGGGAAGAATGAATCGATTTCAAATACTCGACACCAATCCAATAATCGATCGTCTTTTTCAACGAATCGAATAACCAGAGATGAAGAAATCAGTACAAGCATGTATAATCTTCCTCCTTTGCCGCGTAAAAAGACAAAACATTTTGATTCTTCATCTCAAGATAATGAGGATTATACAATATCGAAAAAACGAATTCGTAAGGAATCGGCTCCCGAATGTTTCGATCTTACTATTACACTGACTCCTTTTCAAGAGAAGAACATTGAATCTACACTACAAATTAAAAAAATTGACGAGCAAGATATTCGTCCATCACCAATATCTTCTTCACAAGCGATCTATCATGGCATGACAAATACATTTCGAAATTCTCTTCTTTCTAAAACTGATGTCCCACGTGGCCAATGTGGCTTACGAAATATCGGAAATACATGTTTTATGAATAGTGCTCTGCAATGTTTAAGCAGTGTTCCTGATTTAACTGAATACATTTTGGAAAATGGTGTTACTAACATCTTAAATACTACTAACGATCTCGGAACACACGGAAAGTTGGCCTTAGCTTATGCTAATTTGATCCAAGAAATGTGGTCTGGTAAGAAAACAACTGTTGATGCATCTGCTGTCAAACAGTATGTCAGTAAATTATCACCACGATTTGCAGGCTATAATCAACAAGACTCGCATGAATTTCTTAATATATTGCTCGATGCTTTGCATGAAGATTTGAAACAAAATCTCGAAGATACCGATAATGAAACATCGCTAATTTCTAAGATTTTTCATGGACAAATGCGTTCGACTGTTACGTGCACATGCGGAGAACCTTGTATAACATTTTATTCAATCAGTTTTCTTGCTTTACCGATTCCAGATTTGTCACTCGCGTCATCTCATCGAGCACATTCGAATCAGTTTCGAACACAAACAGTAACTCTAATTGACTGTTTCAATGAATTTCTCAAAGGTGAAAAGATTGGAGAAAATGGCCAATGGTTTTGTGACAAATGCAATGGTTTGAGGGATGCCGAGAAGAGATTAGATGTGTGGACTCTTCCTAAAGTACTCATTTTACAATTGAAAAGATTCACGAACGATCTTTGGAATAACGTTAAAATTCAAACACTTGTTGAATTTCCAGTCGATTCTCCTCTTGATCTTGATCGGTTCATTCCTGTTACTAATAATCAAGAAAATGCTCTCTACAATCTCGTGGCGGTTTCAAGTCATTCTGGTAACCTCACCAGCGGACATTATACAACCTATGCAAAAAACTTTCTTACTAAAAACTGGCTTCATTTCAACGATGAATATGTGTGTAAAGCAGACGAGAAAGTTATTCAGTCATCAGATGCCTATATTCTCGTTTATCGCCAACAAGAAACAAACTTATAATACTGATGCTGCATTGGCATTACTTTCCATCGTTACAGTATACGTTTCTGTATTGTACTAAAGCTAGTTTCTTTTATTTTTCTTTGTTAAACTTGATAAACAAAAAACAATAGTTTTTTGCTGCATTTACGCATCACTTAAGTTTTTAGATTTTTGTTGAGATTAACTGGCAACTTACTCTATGAAATACACATCATGCTGTTTGTGGAATGTTCGCATGACATGTGGGCCACGCCTTGATAGAGATTCTTTATTTACTTCCAATGAACTTCATTTTCACATGAACGCTGTGTTTGGTTGCATAATTTCTGACTATATATTAATCAAATCACGGTGGCATAGCTTCAATGAGAATGCTGCACTTTGTCCTAATCATCACTATTATTTATGTGACGGCTATACTCCAGCTTGGTATTGTACATATAAGCATTGCTATAGTAGACAAGGACTAATACACATGGGCGCAAGAGCTGCGTTGCTCATAGGAGATGTTCCTATTCGTAAGTACATGAATATGAAAATAATTGCAATATCTTAAGTGATTCCTACTTTTTTGCCTGCTTCAGTTGGATACATATGCAGTTGGCATAGAGATATTTTTGAGAAACTGATGTTAACGAAGAATTTACAACCTATTCTAATTCCTCAATATGGATTGCCCGCCATATGGGATTGCGTCGAAAAGGTACAACCTATCGTGAGTTTTAATCAATATTCTTCTACAATAGGTTTATAATAACAATGTGTTTTTTTATAGAAGAGCGAAGCATTATTGTCTGATAACTCCTCAAATATCGTTAAGAATCAACAGAGATATGATGATCGTCCTTCCTACGAAATGCCAACCAAAACTTATACTGATCATTCGAATTATCCATCAGTTGATGTATTTTGCTAATCGATTGTTGTCCAAAATAATAGATTCTTCTTGTGTTTTTTAGAACGGTATCAATACAAGCAAGATACATCTAACGCTACGTACACAACAAAATGGTAATTCGACTGAACATGATTCCGTAAGTAAATTGAGCAGGCACGTTTTAGTGTAGTTTTGCCATTGAATTGATATACCCAGTTATACAAATCATTCACATTACTCAGTTACAAAAAGTCTTTAAATTTCCATCATCTAAAAAATACTAGTTAGACCAAGGGGGAAACGGCGGATTCCGGATTCCCAAGATTCCCGGGATTCCCGGAATCCCATGGATTCTTGGAACTTTTATAATAACGAATGACATTCCAGAAATTCGTATTTAACCTCTATGATCTTCACTCTAGTCTCGAAAATCTCATAGAGCTCAGTGCTAAGGCTTCACTGCTTTATCAAATGACTA